TTTAGCCGACACACACACGTGGTTACGTTTAGCCGACACACACACGTGGTTACATTTAGCCGACACACACACGTGGTTACGTTTAGCCAACACACACACGTGGTTACATTTAGCCGACACACACACGTGGTTACATTTAGCCAACACACACACGTGGTTACATTTAGCCGACACACACACGTGGTTACGTTTAGCCAACACACACACGTGGTTGGATGCAAATTGTGAAGACAATAAAGCCTCCACACACTGTGTGTGATTTATCCTGACTTCATATGAGAAGAGGAAATCTCTGCTAGCTGCTAGGCTAATTTATACAATGTAAAATGCCATAGACTTGTGCTAATAACGTTAGCACGAGACAAGACGAGACGAGATAATTCTTTGTTTTCGTTTGTTGTGGAGCAGTTTTAAATGGCGAAGAGTCGATACAGAACAAAAACAAGTCAGAGCGTCCCTCACTACTGAGCAAGCTTCATGCTTTGCAATATTCTGGCCTTTGTTTTAAACTCCCTTCATTGATATAACATTTAAAGTGTGTTTGTGTCTCACCGGTGTTGATAGCGATGGCGAGGCCCTTCACGGAGGAGACGGTGAAGGCTCCCAGCAGCGAGCAGATGCTGATGTAGACCAGGATGTTGGAGCTCCCAACCCGAGGAGAGAAATAGAAGACGAGCACCGCACACAGCAAAAACACGGCCGACACGTACACAAGGAAACCTGACACACACACACACACACACACACACACACAGTTGTCATCACACTTACAGACTTTCACTGAAGTCACATGTTCAGTACAACAGAGTAGATTCACAGTGAAGCGTCTGAGTTCTTCCTTCAGTTCTCGTGTTGGGCCATAAATCTAATTGTACTGGACACATTAACATTTTAAAAGACGCCATGACAGCCCATAATAATCTTAACAAAAACTCACCGGGCTCCAGCAGCTTATTGGTCATGTCCTGCAGTGATGTCACTTCCTGTTCCTGTGGCGCGTGTATGACCAACAAGATGCTCCCCAGCACACACAGCACACAGCCAAGCTTCCCGACGACGTTCAACACCTCCCCCAACAGGTAGGAGGAGAGAACCGCACTGACACACACACACACACACACACACACACAGAAACAGTTAATCCAATAAATATTTTTTCTAACTCTAAAACAAAGTGTGTGTGTTAGCTGCTGTCTGTCTGTCTGTCTGTCTGACCTTTAACTGTTCCTGTATTTTCCCTGACATCAGTCCTGAACATCGTGTGTGCTGATAAACTGAAGCTTGACCTGAACTTTGACAGTTACCTGATGAGGACGCTCAGAGCGCCGAGTGGCGTCACCAACGTGGCCGGAGCGAACATGTAGGCGGCAAAGTTACAGACCTCTCCAGCTCCCACTGAGGACAGACAGACAGACAGACAGACACACAGACACACAGACA